CTTGAAACCTTCTCCCTCAATTGGCCTTCCCTGAGAGTGGAAGCCTGAGGAGCCTCACTCCCACAAGTGGTCACTCCCACATCCCTTGCTGTCAAAGTGGTCACTGTGGCCGGCAGTAAAGGGAGAAATGAGTGTTTTAAAGGTTAGGGGTGGGCGCACCTGGGTGGCTCAGTTGGTTAAGCGACTGCCTTCGGCTCAGGTCATGATCCTGGAGTCCCAGGATCGAGTCCCACATCGGGCTCCCTGCTCGGCAGGGAGTCTGCTTCTCCCTCTGACCCTTCTCCCTCTCATGCTCTCTGTCTCTCATTCTCTCTCTCTCTCAAATAAATAAACAAAATCTTAAAAAAAAAAAAAGGTTAGTGGTGGTGCATGGCTCAGTGGGACTGATTCAGTCTCAGAGTGAAGAAGAGAAAGGCTACAGACTTTAAAGAAAATGCCATGTAAATGATGTAGGTAAACTGACAAGAGTCTTGTTTTTATATGATCCAAAATTTGAAAATAGGCAAATAGCCCTTTATGGATTTTTCTATGGATTTCTATTTGGACTCCATGGTTTCCTTTGAGGGTCTCAAGTCAGAGACAATCTCTCTCTCTCTCTCTCTCTTTCTCTTTCTTTCTCTCTCTCTCTCACACACACATCTCTAATTTCTGCTTTTGTCAGTCATATATAGCCCCAAATGCTGTAGAGAAACCACAGATAAAAATCACGGGGAAAGAGACTATAAGGGTACAGACATAAATAGGATCTCTACAAAGGGACCATCAGAAATCTCCAACAAAAAGGAATTTTAAAACAATTGTTTTCAAAGGCTGTCATGGCTTTAAAAATGGAATTGATAACACAGAGCATCTACTTTGATTTGTCTTTGATGCTTTATTCTGAAACTAGACGAAGGAGTAGCTGTTTTAGACATTTTACTGGTATTGATCAGGAACTACCCAGGATTTCTATTTTGATTAAGTTATACTTCATTGTCTCATTCCTATTCTCTTTCTCCCTGAAATTAATCTTCATATCTATTACTGCAATTTTAACAAGTGAATATCTAATCTCATGTATCAGTGCTTAAAAATTAAAACTATTTTTTTTTCAAACAAAGGGAAAGTTCAGAATTTGCCAAAACATTGTACTTCTGTTTTTCAGATCAAGCATCTTCTGTTTGGGCTTATGTGCACATGGATGCAATAAGACATATGTGCTCCGAAGTGAAATGATCATGGCTTTGGTGCCGGATAGTCTTCGCTCAAATCCTGTTTTCCGTTACCATTTATGTGGCATTGGGCATGATGTAAAGTCTCTCTTTAACCTCAGTTTCCTTATTCATAAGAAGGGATTAATAATGACTTTTTAACACGGTCATTTTAGAAATTTCGTGAAGTTATGTATGTTACAGTGCCTGGCGCAGAACAGATGCTCCCCAAAACGAGGGCTATGGTGACAATAGTTGTTATTTCTTGGTTCCAAGTCCCAGCTCTACCATTAATTTGCTGTGTAATTCTGGCCAAGTCTTGTTAAAGTGTAGGACGTAGAGATGGGACTAGATAGTCCCTACATCCTTTGCAGGATTAAAGTCTGCTTCTGATACGCTACAGGTTTATATTTGAGACACTGTCAAGAGCAACCAGGCAACTGAATAGATGCAAAGGTGGGATTTGGGGGATGTTAACTGCAGCCACATTTATTGAGCACTGGTCATTAGGCATTATTCTAAGCCTTTTCCATGTCTTAATACATTTAATTCTTACAACGACTCTATGATCAAGGCACTATCCTTATCCCACCTTACAGAGGAGGAAACTGAGGCACAGAGAGGTTAAGTGCCTTATCCAAAGTCACATAGTGAGTAAGGGGTAGAGCCAGGATTCAAAATGAGATAGGCTGCGGACCCCATATTTGTTTTAACCATTATGTTTTACAGCTTTTCTAAGGGCACTAGCTTATTGACAACTAAAACCCCAAGTAATCCCAGCACTTACTCATTTTTACTTTTCTTTCCTGGGCCCAGGGAAGACCCTCATGGTATGTTTGCTGGAGGATTATGGTTCTACAGAAGTCCAGAGCTATATCTACCTTCTAGTAGGTGCCTGGTGCTAAGTGCCGGCTTTCTTCCCAATAAACATTTAAAGTCAGACAGCTGTGGGTGCAATCCCCACATCTGTATTCGATTTTGGCAACATTATTTAGCCTCTCCAAGCCTCTTACTCCCATCTGCAATGGAAGGTATAAATAGGATTATTAACAATAATAATTCACAAATGTGAGAATTATGAGAGGCAGTACAAGCTGCATGTTATTTCCAAGTTTTGGCAATCGTGGATAAAGTTGCTACAATCAGCCATGTGCGAGTGTTTTGTGTGGACATGTTTTTAACTCATTTGGGTAAATACCAAGGTATACGATCACTGGATTGTATGCTAAGACATATGCTAAGACACACAATTGTATGTTTAGTTTTGTAAGAAACAGCCATACTAGGGCGCCTGGGTGGCTCAGTTGGTTAAGCGACTGCCTTCGGCTCAGGTCATGATCCTGGAGTTCCGGGATCGAGTCCCGCATCGGGCTCCCTGCTCGGCAGGGAGTCTGCTTCTCCCTCTGACCCTCCTCCCTCTCATGCTCTCTGTCTCTCATTCTCTCTCTCTCAAATAAATAAAAAAAAAATTTAAAAAAAAAAAAAAAAGAAACAGCCATACTGTCTCATGAAGTGACTGGTCCCATTTGTATTCCCATCAGCAATGAATTAAAGTTTCCTTTGCTCTACATCCTTGCTGGAATTGGCATTGTCAGTGTTCCAGATTTGGGCCATTCTGATGGGTGTGTAGTAGTATCTCATTGTTGTTTTCATTAAATTTTCCTTATGACATGATACAGAGCATCCTTTCATTTGCTTATTTGCCATGTATAGATATAGATATAGATCTTCTTGGTGAGGTGTCTGTTAAGGTCTTTGGCCTATTTTCTAATAAGACTGTTTATTTTCTTATTGTCAAATTCTAAGTGTTCTTTGTATATTTTGGAGATGAGACCTTTACCAAATGTGTCTTTTACAGAATTGTCTCCCTGTCTTGGCTTGTCTTCTCATTCTCTCAGCACTGTCTTTCGCAGAGCAGAAGTTTTTGATTTCAATAAAATCTGGCTCATCAATTATTTCTCTCATGGGTCATAACTTTGATGATCTAAAAAGTCATCACCACACCCAAAGTCTCTCAATTTTCTCCTATGTTACCTTCTAAGAGTTTTATAGTTTTGTGTTTTACATTCAGGTGTGTGATCCATTTTGAGTTTTCACAAAAGATACAAAGTCTGTGTCTACATTCAGTTTTTTCTTTCTGTCTGTGGATGTTCAATTGTCCCTGGACCATTTGTGGAAAAGATTAGCTTTGGTCCACTTTACTGTCTTTGCTCCTTTGTCAAAGATCGGTTGGCTATAGTTATGGGGCTGTATTTCTGCACTCTCTATTCTGTTTGCATAATCTATTTGTCTATTCTTTCACCAATACCACACCATCTTAATTACTATAGCTTTACAGAAAGCTTTGAAGTCAGGTAGTGTCAGTCTTCTAACTTTGGTCTTCAGTACTGTGTGTTATTTACCTTTCATCACTTGTTGATACTTGCACTAATCATGCAAAAGCAATGGTAGGTAAAATCGTACCTTAATATGATCAAGGTAGCAGTACCAAACTGTTCTTACACTCGTCGTATGCTTTACTGCAACCCTTAAAGTACTTTTTTCAACTACCAATTTCACTTAGAAATACCCTGGATGAAGCAATACAAATTATGAACTTTATTAAATATTGACCCTTTAGGCATCTTTTTTCCATCTTCTGGGTGCTAAAAAGAGAATTACACTTCAGGCACTTCTGCGGTGTGCCAAACTAGGATGAGTGTCAGTTTCAAGGAAAAGGCACTGGGTGATTGTTTGAATTGCAAAGGGAACTCCTTGCTTCCTGTGGAATACTGTTTTTACTTGAGAGGATAATTGACAGAAAAACTATGGTTACTGAGACTGAAGTATTTGGTAGACATCGTCACAAAAACAAAGTGAGCTTGTCACCCCAAGCAAAACAACTGACAGTGTTTGTGGCCAATGGTAAAATTTGAGCTCTCAAGCAAATGATGACATCAGAAGTGATCTTAATAAAATTTGTTACCATATGAGGAAAGGTGTCAACATTTAGATAATTAGCATAACTCAGTGAGATATATCAAAAATCTTATTCTGAAAAGTGGAAGCTTGGTACAAACACTCAGAAGACCTTGGCCTGGATCCAGGGCCTGCCATTTACTTGCTACTTCAGCTCCATTTACTTACTTTCTCATGTGAAAAAAAAGAATTTCCTCTGTTTCCTCATCTGTAAAATGGGTGTAATAGCTATAGATTTTTGTGATACTTTCAAGCACTGATATCAGTAAACCAGCTCTCTGGGGAAAAAAAAAAAAAAAAAAAGCTCCGAGTTATAACATCATCTAATTTCTGAGATGTAAATACTCCCACCACTGCCAATTTCAAGCTACCAAAATGAGATCACTGAATGCAGAATTGGGGAGAAATTCTCACAGTTGTCCCTTGCAAGCTGGTAGGAGCCAGCTCAAGCATACCACTACTTTCAAGTATACTTTTGAAAAGATATCATTTACTAACACCTCCTCTGAAGATCCTAGTTGCCAGGAAGTTACACAAGAGCAGAAAAGCCTAGGGAAACTGAGTTTCTGGGGTCTTTGGAAATTTTTTTGATTTCTCACTAAATCCCTCAGAACTTGACCCATTCGTGCACTTATGAAAACAATACAACTCTCTATGCAGTTTTAATAGTTGGGAAGGATTTTGTGACATGAAACCTTATGAATTAAGAACTTGGTCTAAGATGTAATGTAATCCGAAAATACAAGACACATTTTGTATGATTTCATCCATTAAGGAATAAAACCTTCCTTCTAGTATATTCTGTCCAACTATGAAATTTATTTAAAATCTTTTAGAAAGGAGCAAGCCAAGTTAAAAAAAAAAAAAAAAGCCAAAAGACTGCTGGGTTTACATACTCTGGTTCCAAAAGGGGGAAAAACGAGGCAAGATTACATAGTGAGAGTAGAAAAAGCAAGATGAAGGGAAATCGCCCATGACAATAAGTCATGTTAGGCATGATACATTTCAATATCTGTAACTGCAAAGTCACAGAAGTCAGAGATAAAAACAAAAAAGACTCCCAGGCCCACAGACTGCCTGATGATGTTGCTAGAATATTTAGCCCTCTGTCCATTTCATGTAAAAAATAAATTAAGTATAAATAAGGAGGTGAGGGAGCTGGTGCGTGCTCAGGTGTGTTCACAGGTATGTACTCAGAGAGGGCATGAGAATGGGGCCAAATGCCTTTCCTCTCACACACTCGCTACACAAAACTCTCCTCCATGTTGCTGCAGAGTAAGAAAGAGTCCACAAGCCGGGGCTGGACCAGCTGCTGGAAGTCGGAGTCCTGCAGGCCTTCAGGGCACACCCCGGCCAGTCTACGCAGCGCAGCCTGGGGAGAAACAGAAGAGATGACACAAGTCAGACCAGGCTCTGCTCAGGGGCATGTATCCCCCTCCACTGCCCTGGGAAGTGCATTTCAGGAAGTGGCTCATTTAGCAGTCAATTTGAGTCAATCATCACCTCGGTCACCTGACACCTTAGTGAAGTGGTCCTTCTGGTCACCTGGTCACTATGGTAACCTTATCACTCGGCCATCTGGTGTCATTTGTACCTTGGTCATTATGGTGGATGTCATCTGAAAGCCTTCATGATCTTAATAATGGTCCTGCCATTTTGGTTTTTCAATCAGCTTAGGAACCTGGTTGTTCTAAAGATCTGTCATTTAAAAAAATCTGATCAGCTTACTGAAATATTTAAGTTCAAGATTTGTTCATGCTTGAGACCATAACTGCTAGAAGCATCAATGAAATGATATGCTTGTTTCCAAGTCCCTAGAGTAACCTAGCAAGGGCTATTTATTGATCCATAAATTCAGCAAGGTTCTGACAAAGCATTATGGGATGAGAAAGAGGGAAAAGAAAGAGAAAGGGAGATCATAAAGCTGAAGGAGATGGAGGTTCTGAGCTGGAAAGAGGTGCGGGCAGATGATACCACTGGCCAGGTCCCCCTGCACTGGGCATCTCACTCTTCCCTGAGGGCTCTCTCCTGTTTTATGTCCCCATGCGCTTGCTCAGCTCTTCTCCATGGCACAAAGTCCCTCCCCACTCTTTCCGAGCCAGCAGGTGCATTTATCCTGTGAGGCCTGGCCTACCGTCATCTCCTCTGGGAAGCCTTCCCTGATTCCCTGAAGCAGAGACAGTCCCTCCCTTCTCTGTGCGCCCATGATCCCTGGGCTGACCTCAACCTTCTCACCTCAACTGCGACTGGTTTGGAGGTGTTTGTCTCCAACACTAGATTCTGAGCTCCTCAAAGATAGAGGCTCTGTTTTATTTTTCTCTGTATCTATAACAGGTAGAACAGGGGTTGGCATAGGGCTTAATAAATGTCTGTTAGAAAAAAAAAAAAGAGAGAACAAATGAAAGGCTTTAAACTGGAGTTCTATTGCTAGAGCAACCTGAAACTGTTAAGGTGGGCTGTGCGCCTACCTAGAGCTCTTTACTAGTCAGCTGAGGCAGTGCATACTAAGTGCTCAATGAATGCTAATTCGTTCCCTTTTCTTGTACCTGTACACAGCAGGGAACAAGGTGAGAGCTGAAGAGTGCCCCCCCTACCCGGGAAACAAAGAGAAGGGAATATCTGGAATAGCAGAAGAAGCAAAAAAACAAAACAAACAAACAAAAAAACACAAAAGGAATACCAACACTTACTGAGTATCTACACATAGTATTTCATTTAATCTTTACAGGATACTACAAGGTAAGCATCATGATCTTCAGTTTGGAAGGCTCAGTGAGGGAAAGGGGTCTTCCTGAGATCACACAGCAGTCCCACTCCAGGGCCCTCATGCCCATACACACAGGAAGGCTGGGACAAGCCCAGGACAAGGGGTTATACTGAGTACAAGGCAGGCAGAGGGCCCATTACCTATACCTATTGCTGAGAAATCACCAAGTTGGCGGAAAGAGAGGAAGGCGTAAGTTGCTTGTTGGATGAACAGGTGCTGCCATGTCCAAGGTGGATCAAGGAGAAGGGACTTATGTCTCTATCACATGAGCAGGGTCTGAGACACTCGTCTCAGGAGACTATCCGTTACTAGTGTGTCCTGCCTCTCCTGGGGTATGATTTCCCCTAAGAGCTACAAAGGTTGAACTCCATAGCACTTTCTGATTCCTTTTGGCTCCAACTGGGAGAAATGACTCTATTACCCTTGACTTGTGGCAGAAAAAAATGGAACCTGAGATCTTCAGCAGAGGAGGCTCTGAGGCCACTGATGTATTTTAGATCATCAGGGGTAAAAATAAAGAAAGAGGGAGGGAGGGACAAAGAAAGGTAAAGAAATGGGGAGAAAATAGACTCATGAGGAGAGAGAATGAGGTAGAAGAAGAAAATAGAGAGACAGAGAAAAAGAGACAACAGAGAAATGGAACACGAAGGAAAAGCCAAAACAGAGAGGCAGAGATGAACTGGTGAAAGAAAAGGGGGAGATGGAGAGAGAGAAAAATGGTGACAAAGAAAAAGAGAGAGTGCCCTGGGGGTGGGGGGCTAACAGGATGGAGGTAGGAGCAGGTGAGGAGCCAGAAAGGGTGGAAGGGGAGGGAGGGGGGGCAGGGAGAGGGCTGAGGGGATAAAAGGAGAGAAAGGGAAGGAAAGAGAGAGAGAAAAACCTCTGAGAGGAGGCAAGCTCTAGAGGAGAGGAAGGGAAAAAATAAAATGAGAGAGAAAGTGGGAGAAGGGGGGGAGAGAGGGAGATGGAGAGGGAGGAAGAGAGAGTGGGAGGGGAAGAGAGAGAAAAAAAGGGGGAGGGAAGGAGAGAGGAAGATAGAGTGGAGGTAGGGGCAGAGGGAGAGAGAGAGAGAGAAGCTCCAGCAGACTCCCTGCTGAGTGTGGAGCCTGGCGTAGGGCTCAAACTCACAACCCTGAGATCATGACCTGAGCTGAAATCAAGAGTTGAACGCTTAACCAACTGAGCCACCCAGGTGCTCCCTGGCCTGTAGTTCTTTTTTTTTTTTTTTTTAGGGAGAGAGAGCAAGGGAGAGCAAGAGATGGGGGGGAGAAGGGGGGAGAGAGAGAGAGAAGAGGGAGAGGGAAAGAGGGAATGAACTAGAAACAGACCTGAAAAAACACAAAGGTAAACAGACACCCTCATCTCCCCAGGGTCCCCAGAAAGCCTGCAGGACAGGAGCCCAAACCAACTCAGAGCACCCCCTTCCTCAGCATCCTGGAGCTCAAAGGACCCTTCCCCCTTCTGAAGCCTGATCTCTCTCCATCTCCCCCTGCTTCCCTCGGAGGGTTAACAGCCAGTCATCCCAGGATCTCATTCCCAGACAGTCTGAAAACACCCAAGCATTAGACAAGCCCAGCAGCCCACTGACAGCCGCCTCATTAAGGAAAAATCAATTCTGTTTGCGAGAGGCAATCTGCACTGCCACTTTCCCAGATGTGGGAGACAATAACTGAAATGTCCTCCCTCCACCTGAAGAGAGCCTTAGAAGCTGGGGAGAAGGCCGTGCGGAAGGCAGGAGAGGTAGCCTCCAACTCCATCTGCCAGGTCAGCCACCCAGTGGCCCCCATCGCAGCAGCCAGGGAGCCACACTCAAATGGTGGAACCCCTTCTGGGACCCAAATCAACAACACCAGCCAATTCTGGGGCCTAGGAGTGGGAAGACAAGTCTATCCGTCCCTCGGCCAGGCAAGAAAGTCACCAAACCCAAGGTCCCATGGAGATACCAAGAGCTGGAAAAGGGCCCCAGCCCTAAGAAGGTTCCCGACTAGAGGGGAAGAAACACAAAAACCCACTAGGAGCCGAGGTAGCAAGACCAGGGCCATAAGACATGGGGGAGAAAGCATGGCTGAAAACAAGAAGGTCTGACCACAATGTCAAGCCCTTCGGCATCAGGCAGGCCTGTGTTTGAATTCCAAGAGCCTCCCCCTTTTAACACCTGGTACACTGGATCACACAACCTGCCTCTTACTGAAGAAAACAAAATCCCAGCCTGCAGGCCCGGGTGCACACCATGTACTCCCTGTCCCTGAGCCACAGACGGCTCCCAGGACACTTCACAGAGGAGAGGGATTTGGGTCTAAACCTTGAAGGGGCTGCTGAGGACAGGGGCCAAGGCAATGTCAGGGTGGCTCAGAGCACTCTGGTCTGGCTGAGCTGGACGAGGCCTGGAGGCAGTGGGAGGCCTTCGGACCCCAGCAGTGTGCTCGAGCCAAACTGTCTAGGGCTAGAGACAGTAGGCCATGGATAAAGGGAACCATGGAAGGGCTTGTGATGGAAGTATCCTGATTGTAAAATTAGGATTAGCCCAGCAGCTACATGGAGGGTGGATTAAGAAGGGAGGAGCTCTCTTCAGCATCCCATGACCCATCCTCCAGGAGAAATGTAATCCCTTTTCCACTGGGAAGACCTTCAAGTGATTAAAGATGGTGGCCAAGCCCTTCTGCGTGTTTTACTTCAAACTAATAATGAAGATGGACAAGGAATTGTGACAAGCCCACATGCCTGCGTGGAGTTTTATGGCTCCCCATTATTGCCGCAGGGCCTCGTAGTGCCAGGCACTTGTGGGCCCCCCAAGTTGTGGAGAAAATGGCAGTTGGGGCCAATGATTGTGTTTGCCCCAATTACACTAAGCCAGACAGAATTAAGAAGGTCTGTGAACTTGGAGGGAAAAATGATATTGCTACGCTTATTAACCTCCAACTGAAACTTAGCCTCTCCTTCAGTTTTGGGTGCAGCCATAGACTATGAAGTCTCAGCAATTCCTGCAACTTGTGCGTCAATGAAAGTCACAGAGCAACTCTTGTTGGAGGTACCTTCAGATATCATTTATGCTCGCTGCTAGTCAAGGTTATAATACTCATTAGACCCACTGCTATCTCTTATTTAGTGTGTTCATTAGAAGTACATATATTAATATATCACATATAAATACTCTAATAGTTTTTTTTAAATAGAGTTAGTTTCCTTCTTAATTCTATACATTTTGGTTTATGCATTTAAAACATTATTCTTAGAAGGGATCCAGAAGCTCTACCAGATCACCAAAGGCACAAAACCGATAAGGTTGTTCTGCATGTACCAGAATCAAAGCCGCATGTTTGTCTCCCCCCACCCCCAACAGCTGTATCCCCATAGTTTAGAAGTGTGCAAGGCACACAGAATCACTCAGTAAATATTTATTGAATAAGATTTACAAGCACTTAGTGACCTACTCAATGTCATGCAGCTCATTAATGGCAAAACCAAGACAGGTGTGTCTCACTGCAATGCCCTCCTGTCTTTGTGACCATATGATGACTATCAGGAGCTCTCCCAAATGAGACGAGCTTAGTCTAAAAAATGATGGGGTGCAGAGGGGGCTTTACTGTGAAACAGCTTGAAGGCCCCCCAGATCCATCACTTCCCCATCTTGGGACCAACCAAGAATCTGGCACTCCCTTCTGGAAGTCAAATGGCCTGTTTATATATTGGCTTCCCTGCTTTTTCATGCTTCCAGCTGGAGGCCACTCTGTTTTGGGATTCAGGACAGCCCCTGAAGGGAGGAAATGTAGAGACAAAGCATGTGTTACCATCTGGTGCAGGTGATTCTTTCATGGTGGCCCCAAGCAGCAAGGAGAAGTTGGGTGCGGACCTTGTGAGATGCACTTGTTTGGTTCAGGTTGAAGATCCTGGCGAATAACACTTTCTGTCCTGTCCTACTGCCTAGAGTCCTATTCCGCAAAGGAGGGGGGAGCTACAAAGCTGGAAGAGCTGGTAAAGGGGCTCTGTCCAAGAGGATGGAGGCTTTTCTCCCAATGTCCCCTTTAGAACAGGAGACCTCCATACCCTAGCTCCCATTGCTGTGAGCACCATGGCGTCGCTACCAGCTCCTAGCATTCTGCCCGCCAGCCACCCTGCTCTTGATTGGCTGTTGAGACTCCTCAGAACCTCAAAGGTTCATGGTTCCTAAAAGTATGCATGGGGGAGGGTTCCCCAGCCCCCCATCTTTCACATATATGACCTTATATCATTTTCTTCAGTTTTTTTTTAAGATTTATTTATTTGGGGGGGCGCCTGGGTGGCTCAGATGGTTAAGCGTCTGCCTTCAGCTCGGGTCATGATCCCAGGGTCCTGGGATCGAGCCCCACATCGGGCTCCTGGCTCAGCGAGGAGCCTGCTTCTTCCTCTCCCTCTGCTTCTCTCCCTGCTCATGCTTTCTCTCTCTCTCTCTCTCTGTATCTCTGTGTCTCAAATGAATAAATAAAAAAAAAAAAAAATTTTAAGATTTATTTATTTGGGGGGGGTTGCATGAGCTGGGGGGAGGGGCAGAGGGAAAGGAAGATAAGCAGACTCCCCGCTGAGCAGGGAGCCTGATGCAGGCTCGTTCCCAAGACCCCAAGACCATGACCTGAGCTGAAACCAAGAGTCAGCTGTCCAACTGACAGAGCCGCCCAGGCACGCCTTCTCTTCACAGTTTTATGAATGAACTGAAATACCCTTATCACCATTTTAAAGAGAAAAGCTCAGTGCCGAGAAGTCTCACGGCTTACTCAGGCCAACCAAGGCATCACCAGCTCTCCTGGCCCCTGGCCTGCAGTCCCAAAGCCTGGGAAGGAAGCTGGGGGACTATGGAGAACTCACCAGACAGGCCACAAGCACAGCATCACTGCTGTTCCTCTCGGAGGGCGACCTGCAGAGCTCGATGAGGCGGGACATACCTGCGTGAGACACACACGAACGTCATGCCCAGGATGGGGACGGACCCGGCCAGACCTGACCCCGAGGTGCTCCCCTTCCCTCACACAGCCTTCTGCAGAGGGAGGCAACCCCAGGGCCCCCCCAGCTCACCAACTGGCCATGGAACGGGGGCTAAACCCACCTGGAGGAGCTTGTGGTGGAGACCTCCTGCTCCCCTGGGTATGAACGGACCCTGGTCAGGGCCAGCACTGAGCTCGGGAAAACTGCAACAGAACGTACTGGGGACCTCAGAGAGAGAACTTCCTCTGTGGGTACTTCTGATTTTGCCAGAACTACATCGAGTGTTTACATCATTATCAGCGGGACTGCCCAATACCATTTTCCCCCCAATTGCCTATCTCAGTCAGAAAATATATTGCAGCTAAGAGGACAGAAAACTTCAGATTGAGGTTAATGTTTCCTCGGCCTTTACAGAGGAAAGGTAAATAAAGGACTGTGCTTTTCAATGTAAATGGACTTTTTACAAACTCCAAAAAAACAAAAACAAAACAAAAAGCCAACTCGTAAGATATTAATAAAAAGGTGTACAGACACATTCTGTATGTTTACCTTCCAGAAAGTCTTTCTGGAGCCGGAAGCCTGGGCCACCTCATGCCATTTGCCGGGTACCTGCATGTCCTCATGCCTGGAGCACCCTTTCTCAACCATCACGCTGCAATAACACCTCAAGCCACGGCTGAAGGCTCACGTCCTTGCTAAAATATTCCTGGACCCATGCGGATAAATGTGAGCTACCTCCCCTGGGTGCCAAATGTGGCCCGGACAGACTTTGAATGTTGCTCTGTGGCATTCAAGTGCATGTTTTTCTTTCCATGCCTGCCACCCCCACGAGGCTGTAAGCCCTGGTGGTCGGGACAATGTTCCCGTCCGTGCATCAGGCCCAGCGGTCCGAACAGAGTCAAGCAGGGAAGGGGTGCTCTGAACACCTTCGTTGGGTAAATGCGGCAAACTGAATGCATGAGTGATTTGATGAGTGAATTAAGCAATGAATGAAAAGTGAATAAGAGAAGTAATGAATGAGTTAATGAATGAACAAAAGGATGAATTCATGAGTGACTCAACAAATGAGCAGGTAAGGAAACAAAGCGAGGAGGCGAGTAACTGAGCGAGTGAGTGAAGGATGAAATGGAACGAGCAAATGAAGGAATGGGGTCCCTAGTGGGAAGTCTGCAGGGGAGTCACTTTTCCATCTGGGTTTAGCCTCTCTGAGCCCTTCTCCTCTGTAGCTTCGGCCCCAGGTTACAAGGTAGACGAGGGGCTGCACGCTGGGCCCCCATCCCAGCATTTTCTGGCACCCAGAGAGTGCGGCTCACCTCAGCCAGCCTTGGTTCTGAGTCATCTGTGGCCACCATGAAACCGGGGGTGCTCCCCTCCCCACGCCCACCTCCCCCCTCCTGCCACAGCCGGCACCACTTACAGCTCAGCCGCACGGCCTCCCGGGCCACTTCTGGGTCTCGGCTGAGACGGGCCAGAGTCACCGCGGCCTTCTGCTGGACTCGCTCGCAAGCCGCCACCTCGGCAGGGGTTCCAGACCTTGGCTTCTCGGACAGCATACCCATGAGAAGCTGGACCCCTGGGAAGGAGACAAGAAATGGTTGGCGCCTGCCCCAACAGGAGACTTGCCCCCGAGGCCGTCCCCGGGGATGGATGGCTGCAAAAGGTCCAGACGTAGGGGTCTCAACCACAGGAAGGAGGCTGGATGAGGCCAACTCTTCTACTCCTTCTGCCCTGGGATTATCTCTGACTCCATGTACTAAGTCACTGTACTTGGAAGGGACATCGGGAGGACATCCCTTTTGATTTTTTAAATGTTAATTCTGAGCTTTTATTGTATGCATGACACTGTACTGAATGCGCAATAAATGCACGATCCCCTAAGCCTCCCAATAATCTCGTGAACTAGATACTAGTATAATTCACTGTGAGACCCAGAGAGAAGTGATGTCTCTTCTCCAGGGTCACACCGTTAGTAGTTGGGGAGCTGGTACCAGAACTCAGGTAATCTGGTTATCCATCACTCCTTCACCTCTGATCCAGCTGCCTCAGAAATCAGTCCAGAGGAGACAAGTCCCCCATGGGTGGTGACCCAAACCTAGGCTGGATAAGCAATAGATCAAATATTTTAGAGGGAATTCAAGCATGGGAGGAGGGTAGATAAGTTGGATTGAGAGATGTAGGCCTGAATTGGGTCAGCTGAAAAGTCTTACCGCCCTCCCCTGAAACCAGATCTGTCTTCTGATTGTTCTACAAGCCCACATCCACATTCACTCCCACCTCAGTGCCTCTGCCACCTAATTTTTCTGGATGGATGTCCTTTTCCCTCTCACACTCCATTTAAATAATTCCCATCCTGCAGGTTGTAGTAAAAGTCCATTTCCTAGGGGAGCTGTTTCCTACCTGCCCCAGCCCACTCCCCTTCCTTGCACCCAGTGGCACCTATCAGCTTAGAACTTAAACCAGATGTGGCCCACGAATGTATTTTACTTTGCTCTGTTGCTCCACACAGTGTCTAAATTTTTTTTTAATTTTGCTATTATGAAAATTGGAAGATTTCCATCAAAATCCAGCTTCCAAAAAAATTACCTCCTGACTTCACATTGGGCCCACATTTCTTCATGACAACAATTTGTTGAAGCTTATTATAAGCTTGCTATTTTAAATGAGATTGGCCCAGTCCCTGCTGAGCCTACATCATCCATTTATATTACCTGTCTGGATATAGTCATCTAAGTTTGTAACCTCTGACTTAGACCGTGGACCCAGAAGGGTCTTTAGAGCTCTAGCGCCCCACTCCCCTCTCCATTTCACAAAAGAGCACCCGAGGTCTGGAGAGAGAAAATGATTCCCCAAGTTCACACAGGAGTCAGTTCCAGTCCAGGACCTCAGCCACATGCCTCTCTGAATCTTGCTCGAACCAAATGTGATTTCTAACTCTCCTAGATCCCGCTGATGCATAGGGGCTATAAGTCACTTAGTTATGGCCCTGAGACTATTCAGTCTTGGGGAGAAGCCATTTCTCTTTCTGATGAGCTTTGTAAGTACCCATTCCTCCTTCCTACAGACTCAAGGGACATAGTTCCTATTATTTCTGCTAGCACACACGCTAACCTTAGGGCAAGGCGCTTCTCTTCCCAACCCTCTCCTGGACCACTGAATGTTTCATAGTCCTCAGGCTCCCTATGCCTACAATGTCTCTAAGACAAAGTCACAACCATGAATGTCCTGAGGTATGTATATTATGGCTTGTGGGCACATGAACAGGGGACACCAAAACGACAACTATGGGAAGTGACACAAGCTCAGGAAATTTTGCTAACTCCTGGTTAAGTTTCCCATAAAGAAGCCATTTTCCCATCCCCCACTTTGCACCTGGAATCTGACAAAGAACCAGTTTCTAATATACTAGTAGGTAAACTCCAGGGGGTAAGCATTTGTGTCCATCTCCTGCGTGGAAATAGCTGAAGTATCTAGAATAGTCCTTCGCTCAAATATTTGTTGAATAAATATCAAATGAATGAATATGAATGCATTCATGTGAAAAGTCTTACAAATGGATAAAATCCAAGTTTCCTTTAAATATACACTTTGTAAGTTTTATCTAGAAAAAGATAAGACACCATGAAATTGAGGCTGCCTAGTAAAATCTGGAGTGTGTTTCCTAAGTCCTGGCCAGAAACCTGAAGGTTGGGAGTTACATCTTCAGAGACCAGCCCCCAAAGCCCTGTTCCCCCACCAACACTCTCTCCAGCTCAGCCCAGCCCCTGCAGGAAGAAGCCACAAGAGGGATACTGATGTCAATGGGTTGACAGGTAAGAGCCTGGGCTGCCCTGGCCTGCCTCCCCATATAGGGGTGATAGCACAATCTCTGACTTCCCGGTCTGACCCCCATCTCCAACCCCCACCACCAACACTCACACACAATTCAGGCAGGACAGAGACAACATCACCAGGCTTCGGGGCAAGCCACATCAGAGTCTCAAGCATTCCTATTAAGAGGACTGCCTTTCAGAGCCCAGTCCTTACAACAGTGCTTATCCTGTTCCCCCCAGGATCCCACTGAGCTCCAGCGGGTGCTGGTTGCCTCACCACCACGGCCCATCCCTCCAGTTCTGCCCCATCAAATGCCCTTCAGCTGAGCCCCGTGAGACAGCCACTGTTTCTGGAAAGAGCAGGTGCACTCGGCACAGCACGCATTCTGTTCCAGATGCTCTTCTAACAAGCTTTATACTCTCCTCACGTCACCCAGTGAGGTAGGTACATTCCCACTGTGCAGACGGAAAAGCAGAAGTCATACAGCTGGCAAATTACAGGGCCAGGATTCAAGCCCAGTCTGTTTCCAGTTTTCTCGTTGCAACTCCCCTCTGCTGCATGGTTTTATTGTCAGTTTCGCACTATCTCACATTATCACTTTTACCCAGTTGGGCTCTCCTCCTAGGGCAAAGCCAAGGGTTTCTTTACCTCTGTGTGTGTTTGTTCAGCACAATGCAAGGGATGGAGTAGGTCTCTAACTGCTGACTGAACGAGCCCGACAATAGCCCTTTGTAAACCACCAAACCCTCCACAGAGGCCAGATGTCCGATCCCAGATCCCTAGGCCTCTGGAGACCCACTGCCGCTGACCACTTGAACTTAAGGCTCTGAGTGCAGAAGGAACGGGCTGCGAATGACACCCCTCAGTCACTCAGCCTCAGCTGGCTCAGTAAAGGTTTTCATTATTAGCTCAATCACATAAAATTAACACAAAATGATGTCTTTCAATTAGTAATAGGGCAATGGGGGATGGGGAATGTGTGTGTTTGCTAAAACAGCGGGGCGACCTGGGAGAAGGGGGTTTAAGAAGAGCAGAAGCAACTGGCCCCGGATATCAGCTCACTCATCCTCATTAGCCTCTCCGGTTTCCAACCGGCTGCTAATCGCTCCCTTATTTCTCTTACTCTGCGGTCCCAGCTGCAGGGCGACAGACCTGTCCTGACCTCCGGCAGAGGCAGAGACGGCGCTCCCCGGCCGGCGAAACCCGGCCCACATCACCTGGACCCTGCAGATACCCTCGGCGCAAGTGGGACCAGAGAGCCAGGGGGATGGCCTTGTTCTGGGGTGAGGGGTCCAGGGTTCAGGCCGGCCCGACCTGCTCCCCATCCTCCCCCTCCTCAGGCGCTTCCGCTTTCTGAGGGAGGCTGAATCCAATATGATAGGAACGACTGAAAGTCCAAACGCATCCTCTGGCAGGAAGTGATTTTTACATTTTTGGATTGTAATGAAATGGGTGTCTACTCTTCACCACCCTAGTTAAAATAGCACCTGCTAACCCCTCACCTTGGGTCTACTTTACCCTACCCCCCATCCTGCTTTATTTTCTGCATGCCACTGGCATCGTCCGACATGCTCTGTCTTCTCGTTCAGTGCCTGTCTCCCACAAGACTTGAAGTCCACTGAAAGCAAACAAGCATTTACACATTGGCCCAGCTGTACACATATGCATACACACACACACACGCACATGCACACACACACACACATATATGCTCACATAATTGTGGAGACACACACGCCCACATTTCCATACCAACACGCCGACCTTCACACAAACACAAAGGCACACAGTCCTGTATAATCCATACAACGTGCACACCGCTGAAAAGACATACCATTCTCCTGAATGATGTCAGACGCACACTGCTCGAGGACAGACAGGTTTGCCAAGATGGTCACAATCTGGAAAAGAGAATTGAGAATCTGAGAAGACTGGCACACCTGAGCCAGGCGGTGCCCTCTGCAGATAGCAGAGCCAGGAGCTACAAAGCTTTCCTTTAGCCTGTGGTTCTTTCCCATCCGCATGGGCCGTGCCCTCATGGTATGGTCTTCCATCCTCATGGGCTCCTGCCTCCCACATGTATTTCCCCAGTGACTGGTTCCCACTCATCAGCATGTGGCCCTGGGGTGGCCCCCGGGGACCCTAGGACTCCACTGGAGAGAACAATGTGGCCCGAGTGAAAACGGGGGCCCCATCGCCTTTCTACAGGGTATGTCTAGCCCCAGACCCTGAAATGTAGACAGAACTGGAAGACTCCTGGCTAACCCCTCCCCTGGCTTGGGTTTCGCTCATCCTAGCTTCTTGCCCTGATAGTGAACCCTACCTACTTTCAACCTGAAATTAGTGAATATCAAGGTCAAGTTAGAGAACGTGAGTAAGATCAAAGGGCAGCATTACACTGCAAGTGTCATGTGTTGTATGGAATCTGGTGAGAAAGTTCTTGCTCGGCTGACTTTACAAGTCTGCAGTCTACAGTCCTTGCCTGTTGCTCATCCCTGAAGGGCTGTCTGAGGTAAAGACATGCTGACACCAGGTGGACAGCGAGCCTGGTTACAACCACATGGGCTGGGTAGCCAATAGCCCACCCCACCCCAACCCCTTGGCACAATCAAAGGTGCAGAGAGAACTCACTGCCCAAAACTGGATTAAGGAATAGGCCATCAAGGGACCGCTTACAGACCCCAAACTGTAAGGTGCCAAAACACCATTGGAAAATGTTGGAAACTTGGCACCTATTAACTCAGATACCACCCAAGACACTGCTCCTGACATAAATGGCAAAATGAAACCTACCCACTGCCACAGAAGCAGACAGCACTCTCGAGTGGTAATTAAAATAAATGATAAAACAAAATGGAAAACACTTCTCACTGGTGCAGTCCTATCTCTCTCAAAAGGGTTCTTCAACGCTTGTGGCACATTTTAACTGGAGGCCGTGTCCCCACCTCTGTGGCAGCAGCTGACAGTCTACTGAGGACAGTTCAGGCAGCTTAAATTCTGGAACTAAATAATGCATAGTAATGTGATGTTTACCAAGAAAGAGTATTATCTAGATTTTAATTGGCTCAATATTGACATATTATTCTGCATACATAAATGCATATAATAAATCTCTTCTTTTACACAGAAAGGAAAATTTTGCCATGTTCATAGAATATCTACACCCGTCCCCACTAAACACATGTTGAAATTGGATATGCGTTCTTAGGCTGCCGTGTGTCAGCCCTGGCGGCTCAGCCCTGGTCAGGGGCCTGGCTAAGCATGCCGGAGATGGGCTGCCAGGGGAGGGACAAGAGAATACCCTGAAAGCTTTATCCCACAGGCAATTCTGCCCCCTGGATGTTCTATGGAGGGAGTGAAGAAGGATTCATCTTTAGAAGCTCTTTTTCCTCCCCTTCTAAGGCTGTGAGTGTGTATGGGCCGAGGGGAAGGAGTTAGAGGGAAAATACGGGTCAAAGACACAGTCAGAAAAATGGAAGGTTCCCCAAGAGGCTTGAAGTGCACAGTCCTACAAGGAAGGAAACGAGAGGCTAAGCCTGGGTCAGACTCTAGTTCACTCGGCCTTCTCTGGGCCGTTAGCAGTAGCAGGGAGCACCTCTCTCCCCACCACCCAGAGCCACCACCCGCCAACCGCCCCCAGCCAACCATTCCAGATAAAGATGCTTCCTGGACACACAGATCCAAATGGGAAGGGAGGAAGCAAGGAAGCAAGGGCAAAATAAAAAAGGAGAAGGAATCCTTTGTCTGCAGCACCAGGTTCATTACATAGCAATTATTAGCTGTGTCACAGGCCCACGTAGGTCTTTGTGTCAGGCTAATTTAGATCCTGTTAATGAAAATTACTTCCTCTTTGCAGAGCCTGTACCCCATGTGGTTTTCTGAGGTTCAGATGAAGTATTCTATTAAGCACAATTTGAATAAATGCCAGTTATGCCCTGCTTTGAGTCCCCCTTCTGAAACATGCTTGCGTACGCACCGTGAGGTAGCAGGGAAGGGGGATCAATACTTCTCCTTGAAGTCAAGTGCAGGGATGGGATTTTAGCGACAACTGGTTTACCTTGTTGGAGACACGATAACAATGCTGTCAGGGGACAGAGTGCAAGAGCCAGGCGGACAGTTTTCCCCCTGCCCACGGCTGATTCAATCCTGTCTGATGATTTTCAATTAAGTCCTATTCCTCCTGAGTGAAAGGGTACTATTCCCTCCACAGTTATTCAGTGAATACAGAGGATATCAGCCTCGAGAGAGGCTCCAGGTGAGAGGCAGTGCAGTGTAGCAGCTAAGCACAGGGATCAGCCTCGTTCCAAATCCAAGCTCCATCATTTCTTTTCCATAGGATCTTGGCCATGTTATTTAGCCTCTCCTTGGTTGATGAAGGTGTATTAGTTTTCTGTTGCTGCTATAACAAATTACCACAGGCTCAGTGGCTTAAAACGACACAATTTTACCTTACAGTTCTGAAGGTCAGAAGCCCTCCATGGGTCTCGAGGAGCTAAAACCCAGGTGTCAGCAGCACTGCATTCCTTCTGGAGGCTCTAGGGCAGAATCCACATCCTTGCCCTTCCTGGTTTCTAGAGGCTGCTCGTATTACTTGGCTCTCGGCACATCACTCTGCTTCCTCACTCGGAGCCCACTTTCAGACACTGACCCTCCTGCCTCATTCTATAAGAACCCTTGTAAACTCAAAGTGGATGAAAGACCTCAATGTGAGACAGCAATCCATCAAAATCCTAGAGGAGAACATAGGCAGTAAACTCTTGGACATCGCTCACAGCAACTTCTTTCAAGATACATCTCCAAAAGCTAGTGAAACAAAAGCAAAAATGAACTTTTGGGACTTCATCAAGATAAAAAGCTTCTGCACA